GAGAGAGAGAGAGAGAGAGAGAGAGAGAGAGAGAGAGAGAGTGTTGTCACATCAAGTTTGGCAATGGGAAATTGCCGCAACCCTCGCTTTCTGTCATTAGCTTTTAGGAGGAGGATATGTGAAATCACTGAGATGCCAATTGATTGATTACACATCTGTTTCACTCGGCTACGGGGAAGTGGAGGCTACTCTTATCACCTCCACTGGTTTGACCTTCAAGGATGTTTGAAAGGAAGAAGGGAAAAAAAAGGTTAATACAGCGAACAAAAATGACACTGAAATGTGTGGAGTTGCCGGTATCAAATGCAGACAAGCTGTAAGGAGCTCTCTACAGGGTTATGCAGAAAAAAAAGATAGTGAACAAATGACATTAAAATTTGTAGAGTTGATGCAGTATCAGGGGCCACTGCCAGCGTTGATTTTCCTGAACGCACAAATCTGGACGATTTTGTGGAGATGTTCAGAAAATACCGTCGAGTTTCCTCAACTGCACATCTCCACTAACATGTCCAGATTCGGGGGTTGAGGAAACTCAGCGCTGCTAGTGGGACTTGGCCCCAGATGCACAAAAGTTGTACTGAACTGTCTGCGACCTCATGCTCAAAAGAATGTTGTGGTGAACTTCTTTTTTCGTTTTCTTTTTTTTTTACCAAAGCACAGCCCCTTCTATTCTGGGGGGCATCAGTCCGGTTGCTTCCCGGCAAGCATGTTTCCACAAGATAGAAGGGCGGGGGAAGAAGGGAAAGATAAGAAAGGCTTTGTAGTAAGTTTGTACACTGTTTAAATTATTTTGTTTACTTTTTTCAAGTTTTCTTTTCTTTTTTGGTAATCCGGTGCTCACTTTTGGTAGTCAAAGGATAGACAAAAATCATGAGCCATTGTCGAAATGCAGAGTAGAGTTTCTATCAGGGTTGTCACAGCCCCGGGGCTCCGATGTGGTGGTCCCCTGATCCCGGCCCGGAAGGGGCCAAAAAAACAAAAAACAAAAATACTAGGGGTGCGCAATGACAGCCTGCCCCCCCGGCCCAAAAATCAAAAAATGATTTTTACCCCTCCCTGGACCCCCCACCAGGGCCATACCCACCATTGGTGCAGGGGCAGGGGTGCAGGGGTGCG